TCAAGGATATTATTATCTCTTTTTAAATAAACGTTTGATCAGGTTTTCTTTAGCCTTGTCATCAGGGACATCAATTAATATTTTCCTCCTTGGAAGTAAAATTGGACACTCATTTTTAGAAAAGCGTTTCAGTAGTTGGATCTTTTGAGATTCTTTGTTAATATGCTACATGAAATTGCTGCTCCAGCCCATCTTCACAATATATGACCTTTACTGGACTTTTAGTTAATGGACTCTTAGGATGTAAGATGTTGATGTGCTGCACTGAGCATATGTGGCCATGTGTCGTGCTGTGGAGTGGGCTAATCTTAGAAAACATGGCTCGGCTGGAACTCCCTGGGGTGGGAGTGCAACAGCGCCAATCCGTCTCATCAGCCAGTCGCAGAGGGTGTTCTGCAGGCACAAGGCAGCATGTAGCATACAGGCAAATCCACAGCAGCATGCTCAACGTTTATCACCAAAAATTTGTTTTAGAGCTTTAGAAACACAAAACCTTGTCTCCCATGCATTATAGAGAACGTATTATATTCTCAAAATTTGTTTTTTAACCACAGAACTTGCAGTATTGTCATTACTTTCATTACTCACTGATTCCGACCTCCTCAGTTCACATAGTGAAATGCTGTATTGTACAATGTGTTTTGCAGGCTTCAGCTGATCGTTCTCCCTGCACAGCAATGTCTTTTTCCTCTTCTCCCCACTCAGTTTACTGTTATAGACACGACTCCCAGCCATCTGACAGAGATATCTGCTCCTCTCCCCCTGGGTGAAAAACCAGCAGGAGGAGGAGGATTGATGGTAGTGGTAGATGTTACAACAGATAAGCGGCTGATACAGGAAGACTGCAGCTGCTGAGGCCTGCAGGTTGGGCGTGTAGACCTTCAGCATCCTCATGACCTTCCTTTGAATTGTCTTGTTTTATTTTGTTTAGTTTCCGGTCAAATGGAGCTGAAAAACTCTGAAGGGTTGATGTGAGAACTACATGGGGCCTCTGCTGTCTTTTGTTCTGTAGTTTATCTGCTTTTCTTTATCTTCTCCTTGTCTCCCACACCTCCACAGACTCACTGATTAAGCAGCTGGTTTAAAACATGGCCCCTCTTCTTCACTGTTGGAAAAGCTATCTTACCGTCATTTTCAAACAAATTATTACTGCTTGGATCAAAAAGGACTAGAATGTGTTTATCCTTTCAATATGGGTTATTCTATCCATCACTACTCAAAGCCTCTGCAGTATCCTAAGTGTAATCTGTGTAATTTTGGACTTTTTCCTGCAGTTTTACGAACTTTCATAATGTTCTGCACTGAATTGGCTGCTGATTCTATTATTAGTGTACAAATTACCTAGTAATCCTAATCTAAAGTGAAGTTAATATTTAAACCAGCTTCTTGGACAGTTTGCTGCAGATGTAGGCAGGAGGAAGTAAAACCTCTGATGGAAAAGTTATCACAGGGATAAATCTTTATTTTTGTCTTGCCTACATACAGGCCACAAAATACTGAGCTGCTAATGCTAAGTGAAGTACATGCCTATACTTTAAGACTTGAGACATCTGTTTTCCAGAACCTTCGTTTCCAATGTGGGGTCCACTCCAAACCAGGTCCCAGTGCAGTAGTATTTTAACATACAACTCCTGCACCTTCTGTTACTGCTGGGGAAAAGCATCTTCCTTACCATGATGCTGTAATCGCCATGTTTTTATCTACAGGGTACTGGCATGCATTTTCTAGGACCTGGCCATCAGACAGGAGCACTTCCTGTTTGCTGTGTCCTCTGAAGGGATGTTGTGAGAGAGATGGCTTCTGAAGAGTCATTCTAAAAAGATCAGATTTATGGACTTCATCTCTGGGTGGAACTGGATTCTCTGTCATACTCAAAGCCTGTAGGACTGTTTTAAAACTCCATCCTGGTGAAAATGTTCTCCCCGTCTTTCTGCCGTGCTCCTTGTGCTTCTTGATGCTGTTTACTCACTAATGTTCTCTAACAAAACGTGAGAGAATATCGACATTTGTGTGAACTACTTAAATTCTGAAGGAACCTGGATATTATTTAGATACGACTTTAATTAATTCATGATTTTTCATTCTATCACTGTAAGTCTCAATAAACCTTTTGGGCTAGGTGATTGTTAATTGGAAAGGTGGAACATTCTGCAGGGCTCATGTCCCCCACGCGCTCCTCCATCCCTCGTGGTTCTCTTCCGCCTTCCTTTCTTTGTCATCATTTTAAATCCACATCCCAGTCCGCCTCTTCAGTAGTCTGCTGAGCCTCAGAAAACCATAATGCTGCCCACTTCCTCCAGATCCTCATGGCTTGAGTTACATGCTGACTCAATGACTGAGTGTGTGTGTGTGTGTGTGAAAAAGGGCAGTTCAATATCCTTGAAAAAGGAAGGGCACGAGTTTCAGAAGCACCTCGTTGTGTGTTGTGTTTTCTGCTGAATAGGTGGAAAGTTGGCCGGCTGCAGGTTTTTAAATAGCTGAATGGGTATTGACCTGCTCCCCAATATCAGCAGCACAGACACACCCCCATCCATACATTCATTCATTCAATAAAGCTGCATGTTTGGTTTGGCAGTTTGTCTCTTAAAGTATTGATGCTTGAAAGGATGAATGGAGGGAGGTTCTAATGAATGAGTTTATCAGTTCATGAATGAGAAGAAAAGCATCTTCCACTGTTTAGGCATTAAATCACAAATTAAAACCCCCTTTTTCCTCTGAGTGAGGCATATCGGGATGTGATTGTGTAACCCTGATGACTGATAATGTAAGTGCTTCTATTTCTGGACCTGGTGTCGTGATTCAGCTTCAGGGTACCAAATAAGAGGAAGCGTACGAGCATCTCATTCGTGTTTCTTTACCAGCCGGCTCGCCAGAGGAAGCTGTCTTTAAAATCATGTCAGAAAACCTAAATGTGATACAGCAAAACGATCTATCTCAGTGCAGTTCTGGGAGAAACAATGCAGACCTCTAGATACTCATTCCTTTTGTCCTCATTAGTCTCCTACAGTGTTTTTATTTTATTTTATTGAGATCATAAAATAGATAAAAAGGAGATAAACATACAATAGCATAGATAAGATATATATTACATCATTGCTCCCATTCATTAGGGTTTACAGTATGGCTATTTGTCATGCAGCAACTGATAGCCAATATGTTTTGGTGAAGGTGAGTCTAGAGATGTTCCGATCCAGGTTTTTGCACATCCGATCCGATACCAATATTGTTTTTTTTTTAAACTGGATCGGCAGTCTGGATCGGCATTTTTACATGCCTTGCCGATACTCATTTTTTTGCCAATATCGGCGTCCGATCCGATACGTGGATCGGATCGGGACAAGCCTAGGTGAGTCCACAGTTTACATGGTAGTAAGATATTATACCTGTTAGACCTTTATTTTTGCACACATATGCACACCCAGTGGGTTTTTTTGTATTTTATTCTATGTAAAACAAAGAAATAGAGCTTATCCAAAATCTGAATGTTCAAGTTTAAATTTCTCAGAAATTCACCCTAAAACCACAGGTAATGAATTATATATCAATATTTAAAATGTCACATGTTTTTAGAGCTTATATTTATAATAATTCTAATCATAATAAAGGTCATAATAATAGTACTTTTTTAAAGGCTTCATTAAAAGCACTTAAACTCAGCGTATAAAGAAAAACAAAAGGTTAAAAAAGCAAGAAGGAATCAAAGAACAGATGAAAAATAGGAACATTGTGGTTGATCAGAATAGAAATGCTCGCCTGAACAGTTTTTTAACTAACTTGTACAAAGATAACGGAGTTAAAGTAGTCCAGACGAGACTCTAACCCAAGATGCTCAGGTTGGAGGAACCTACATGGGTTAATCTAAGTACATACAGAGTCCAAACGGTTTGAACAGATAACCTAAATAAAAATTAGCTGAGAAAAAAAGATAACAACCACACTCGGAACCTAAGTGAGTGTGTTATTGATATTTAGGGTCAAACTGGGATACCCTGGGAGAATGGATTCAGTCCGGTAAAGGAGAAATTTTGTTTTTGTCTTTCTTTAAGTTTGAGAAAGTTAGAAGAAAATCTGACCTTACCCTAAGGTCACAATTCTACATCTGTAAATGTCCACTGTAGGAAAGAGAAGCCCTGTTAACTGGTATTCTTTTATTCCTTATCAGTTATCTCACTTATTTCCCTCACTTTAAAGTGAGTGTATTTTAGCACCAGGTCTCAGCATCTAGGACTTTGATTTTAGAGATCCTCAAAGCTTTCCTGTTTGCTGTTTGGTTCTTTGATCCGGTCTGTTGTTTTTATCAGATCTGCAAGTTGAGGAGAAAAAGAAAAGAGACTGACAGGTGTGCCTGGTAGACATAATTACATTAAATGCATTATCTGTAACCTATTTAAAACATCAACCAATACTGAAACTCCCAGAGAAGGATCATTAGTAGAAGTCCCTGGAAAGTCTGTAGCATAGATGCATTTGATCTAAGAGAGCAAACCTTTTGCAGCATTAATAATCTGCTCTCTCTGCTGCATGTTTTTGCTGTTCTTGTCTAATCACATAACATCTTAGGTTTAAGGGAAGAATAAAACCAAGATGCATTGGGTCGTTTGGCCCTGTGTGATGATGCTCTGTTAGTCACCGATGTGCAGATGCAGAGGGAAGACAGAGGATGGGATGTCTGATTGGACGCCGCCACTGACACCATGTCATTATGACTTTGTGTTAGATCCCAAGTGTAGCGAAGAGTTTTAGATGTGATGCAATGTGACAGAGCCGGAGCCCGAAAGGGGAAGAAGTTTATTAATGCAAACTAACATGTTTGGGAGCAGAGGAAGACACTGTGGATGGAATTTACTTTTGTCCTTAAAGATAGAGAATTAATAAAACAACAATGGACTGCTCCGATTGCACATCTTTCTATTTTCAAAACATTTATATGAATTAAAGCCTGCTGTTTTGTTTGTTTTCTGTTGTATCCAAAGTGACAGTCTTCTCCTCTTTCTTCTCAGCCTCTCCTCGGTGGGTTGGCATGGCTCAGTGATGAACGGAGCGGTTTTGCCCGGTAGCCCGGAGCTTTCCTCCTCATGCCCGCTGCCTGACTGGAGAGAGTTCTGTGAGCTCCACGCTCGAGCCTCAGCTGCTGACTTTGCCGACAAGTTCCAGCGTTTTCTGTCGGAGAACCCGTGCTACGACTCGCCAGGTGCCGATGCCAGCTTCTCACAGCATTTTGCCAACCACTTCCTTGAGTGCTTCTCTGTGGCGCTGACCCAGGCAAAAGAGAAGCAAGTGTCCTCTCCTGGGGACGAAGGCTGCAACGCGGCTCCGAAGTACACCATCGTTCCTTTCCTGGGAATCCAGGGTTGTCCACTGTCCTACGGTCACGACCTCTATCAAAGGCGTAAGGACACTGGGGCTTCAAGTGAGTCTCTGGACAGCATGGACAGTGGTGGGGGAGGGATAGATGGGGGAGGCAGTGAAAATACCTCCTCTCGAGGTCCACAGACTCATAAGATGTCAGTTTTAGGACAGTCTCGGAGCTCAGAGGACGTGTCTGTCAGCCACCCTAAGGCTCGCTTCAAGAAAGGCTTCTCATTGAGGAACATGAGTCTGTGTGTTGTGGATGGGGTGAAAGAGATGTGGCATAGACGGGCCTCCCCCGAACCCGACGGTCCTTCAGGAACCAGGAAGGCCAATGGAGGAGGGGAGGCAGGAGGGGGGGAGAAGTGGTCCCAGAAGCTGAGGCTCCCCCGGAGTTCCCAGAGCCACAAAGCCGAGCTGCTGGAGATCCAGAGGGAGGGGGCGCTGAGATACATGGTGGCCGACGACACAAACTGTATGGGTGCTGCACAGTGGCAGAAGTGCCGCTTGCTGCTCAGGAAGACAAAGCGTGAGGAAGGAGGGGAGAAGTTCCTGCTGGAGTTCTACGTTCCTCCGAAGGTATAGTAATACAAACAGAATGTGGACAAAAAACTAAAGTTGGAAAGAATGCAATATCTGTTGGGTAGTTTAGGGTTTAGATATAGCTTGACAGGAAGCAGAGGGTGGAGGGGTATATTTGTATATCCATGGGGTTGCTCCAAACAGATCAGTGGAAAAATTCTTTCAGCTTTACATGTATTCTACAAATGGTAGTTTATCCTTTATCATTTTCTGTTTACTTCTATCATACCGTAATCCCGAGAGTCGAAGCTGCAGCGACCATTCCTGTCACTCTTTCAACATGAACGGTATAGCAAAGGTTGATTAGCGCTGCATCCCCTTTCAGATTATAGTACCACTAATCCCCCTATTATGGATTAGTGTATCAACGTTAAAATCAGAGTCGATTCTATTTATACTCTGATTTAACAGCATAAAAGAGGTGTGGTTTCCAACAGTATACGACTCCTGCTGCTTCTTCCCTTTGTAATGTCCCACTACGTCACAATCATCTGCAATCTGTTATTGCCCTTTGCAGTTCATTGGGATTTCAGCTGTGTGCTTTTTCTCTGATGAGGTGGATCAAAAAGGTGATATTGGACACTTTATGAACTTTCCGTTCAGTGTGGGACAGTTTAAAAAACAAATGGACGGTCTGAAAGTGGCTTTATGAGGGGAAAATCTAAATCTGTTATAGCGTCAAAACCTTCTATAAGGTCTATATGATTTTGAAAATGGACGACATCACTGATGTGCAAAACTGACAGAAAGGTTCCTCTGTGTGAAATCCGATTTTACTCCTCAGGGAAGCAGGAAGTTGGGGGTGGCCACCATTAATCATCTAAAAAAAGTTTAGATCACAATTTAACAAAGACGCTTATATTAGTGAAAAGTTTAGCCTTGTCAGTGACTTTGGAGAGATACATAATCATTTAATATCTCGGATTTATTTTTCTAAAGTTCCCGGGATTGGGTTATACTGCTGTAATAACAAAGACTTTTGTTGTAAAGCTTTTTTAATGGGGTACCAATATTTGTGGCGGACACAATGTACAGTTTATATGTTTGCATACAGACCGTTTAAAACAGTAATGTTGTCAAATATATATGTTTTTTCCTATTAGAATATTCATGTTAAACTGGAAAAGAAAAACAAATCAATGGTGAAAGCAAGCTTGAGCTGCAGTCCTTCCTGAATGCCAGATTAAAATTCAGCGAAGTGAACCAGCCATGTGTAGGTCTAAACCACAAACTCCTGAGCATACATGCACCTTTCACATTTGCCTGCACATCGTTGCTGGTGACCCTAAGTAAGCCAAGAGGCTGTGCAGCTGAGTGTGTGTATATCTGCCACTGTCCTTTGATCATAGCAGGTGGGAATGTGGAAGAGGCTGCTTGGGCAAGAGGACGGGTGAGGACGGATGGGAGGTGGATGGGCTGGGGGGGTTGGGGCTGCAGAGATGTCCAGAAGCTGTGCAATAGGAAGGGTGCTTTATTGATTTTTAATATATGAGAGGATCTCATAGTTTCTTTATGCAAACATTGATTGCATTCTCAATTTAGGCAAGATAAACAAAAGTAGACAAGAAAAAGGAACCAATATAGTTCAGAGAGTGACCTCAGAAACTTCTAAGTCAGTGAGAACCACAAGAGGAACAGATAAAAAGGAACAGTTCAACTTCATGGTATCAGTCTGTTGACCTCTACAGATGAGGAGCCATACATAAACACACATGTCAACAAACTAAGCTCTTTTATCAACCACGCATCATGAAATCTAATAGATAAAGAAGCCGTCTGATCAGAGCGATGTGTGCAGGCATATCAATAGGAAGTTAGATGGAAGGAAAAAGTATTAGAAAATTGTCCACCAGCAACAGGGATAAATGCAGCTTTGAGTGGACAGAAACAGACTCCCTTTTAAAGAAAAAAACAAAAACAAATCTTGGTTACCTCTTATAATCAAAGTTTGGTCTGAAAGTCATTTGTATGTCCTTTAAAAGTTTGTAAAATTAAGAGATGATGTATATCTGTGACTCATAAAAACAAACCTTTGTTAAAACATATTTAAAGCTTTTCATTTTAATTTCATTACCATTGATGATCCTGTTGCAGTTTTAATAGATTTATGTATTTCCTTATGAATAGATTACAAGCCAGAAAAGTGCTTATGAGTTTAACAAGGACCCAAGTTTATCTTGCTTCCTCCAACAGAGAGGAGGATGCCGAAACAAAAATCTTTCACTGCTGCAAAGAGTGCCATCATCGGGCTGCCAAGTCTCCTAAAAAAATTAAATAAACATTTTAGGTGCATTACGTGTCGGGAAACATGTTTTCTGTCCCAACATCAAAGATGTAAAAGTGTGAAATTATACTGCCACTATAACTGTAAACAGGAAACCTTGTCTAGAGTATCCATTTTTATTCAGCAAACTCTGCAGGTGGGTGTTCAGTAAAACACTTCAGGCCCCCATTTTGTACGGTGGAGGATGTGTAATCCTGTGGGCTTCCCCTTTCTTCCAAATGCTGTGGGAACCTTGTTGCTGTTCATAGTATCACATTCTAACTAGTGACACATCCTAAATTTATGCTGCTATGTCATGTTTCTGTCCCGTCTCAAAGCTTTGATTACAGGAACATGAGAGCTCACTCTAGAGACGTTTGGCTTTCCATTACCTTAGTCTAATGACACTATTATTGAGAATGGCCAAACAGTAGAGATGAGCAGGAAGCCGCTGAATGGTTAAATACAGGAAGTGTCTTTTTACACACGATCCAAAAAAAAAGGGGTATAGTGGGCGTGGATGGCAGCCAGCTGCATGAGCAGATTGAGAAGAGGACAGCATTACTCCAGACAGATCAGCTGCAGATAAGCCTCTGCCAGACGATCACTCAGCCTTCCTCTTGCTCTGCCCCCCCCCTACACACACAGATACACAAATGAGCACAAACTACACACAGTTTGCTGCCCCAAACATGTTCATTGAGTCTGATTGAAGATTACCATGTGGATCTGTCTCTCTGCAGAGGGTCTGCTGGGACCAGCTCTCTCTCATGTAAACTTGCTCTGTTGAATGTGTTATTTGTCAGCCCGCAGGAGTAATTGCTGAGATAAAGCGGGGAAATAGGAAACTGAGGCAAAACAGACTAACTTGGCTTACTGTAGTTTTTCTTCCTTATTCCTACTGTGGGTTAAATTTTGTTTTCCTATAATATATCTGCGGCTTTATCTATTATAGCCACACTTTTAGTTTCAGTTGTCTTGCTTTAAAGAGAAATAGTTGTTTTTAACAGTTAAAGGGAAATTATGAGTCCGAAACTGTTTCTTTATATGTGGCTGTCAGTGATCCTGTCTTTTCTTTAATGTTAAGCAATAATTTCCAGGATTTCTGCTTTTTACTCAGTTTCAGTTAACTTACTGTCTGATTTCAAAGGAATGTTTATGTGTTTCCATCCATCCATCCATCCATCCATCCATCCATCCATCCATCCATCCATCCATCCATCCATCCATCCATCCATCCATCCATCTCAAAACTTATTTTCATTTCTTTCAGAAAAAAAAAATATAGATAACAATTCATATGTATATATATTTTAAACATGTTTTTACATTTATATAATACAGGAGTATTAACGAGTCAGTTTGTCTGTCTGATCCAGTGTTCGAAGCCTAAAGTGAGCATCCCTCTCTCAGCTATCGTGGAGGTGAGGACCACCATGCCACTGGAGATGCCCGACAAGGACAACACTTTTGTTCTCAAGGTATGCTCTGTGAAAACCCTAACCTCAACCTTAAGCATTTTAAGCGACACCAAATGTGTCAATTAAAATGCTTAAACATAAAAAAACCCCAAAAACCTCAGCACAATACAGATGACTTTATGTTTGAGAACAGGCCGGGCAGTGTATAGTGAACAGAGCACAGTGTGTGACTTGTGTGTTTGGCTCCATTCACAGGTAGAAAATGGGGGAGAATACATCCTGGAAACCATCGACTCTCTGCAGAAAAACTCCTGGGTGGCTGATATCCAGGACTGCATAGACCCCGGGTAAAAAGCGGCAGATAAATATTTGTTGTTGACTGAAGAAGGAGGGAGGAAGGAAGAGAGAGGGGGAAAGGAGGGTGGATGAGAGGAGAACGGAGGGGGAAGCACAGATAGTCATTAATCATGTAATTAGTGGATTTTTTTTGACAGGCTGTTTGAGCAATAACATCAGCAGTTATGTGCCGCTCAGTTTTTGGGGGATTTGTGGACATTTGTCGGCGCACGTCGTCATATAAACAGATAAAAGACTTTTTTGTGTGTTTGTGTTTGCAGGAAGTGGTTGTGCGTAGAACCATGTTAGGATATAGTTCATGTTTGTTTGCTCATGTGTATACGCTCTTGCGGTTGCTCTGACCTGCCTCCTTGTGTATAGAGACAGCGGCGATGACATCGAGCTGGCGTCATGTCCTCACGGTCAGGCCTCCAAAGAAAGCTCAATGGTGGCCTCCTGCAGCTGTGAGCTGCTCTCCGAGGGTGAGCCCAGACTTCTCTCCTCTCTGCACATTGTGCAGTGTTTACATGCTTTGATCCTGAAAACAGTTTTCAGATTATTGAAAAAGCAACCAACCTTTTTAAGGTGTGTATCGCACTCCGGAGAGGTCCTGTTCCACGACAGCAGATCATTACAGCGCTCCCTCTGTGCGATGCAGGGAGCCTCCTTTCACCCAGCACCCGTCTCACATGCCTTTAGAGCGCTTCCTTCAGTCCCCAGAGGCTCAGAGCTCTACCTCTTCTGCAGGTAACACCTTCTTTTTTTAATGGCTTGAATAATCTGATAAGAGCTTGCAGAACTATCCACACTTCCTAAACATTTTTACATTTTGTGACAATGCAACCACAATAATTTATGTATTTTTTTGGTATTTTATTTGATAGACAACTCAAAGAAGTGTATTATTATGTATCAGAAGAAAAAAAATGATCAGTAGCTTTTAAAATCTTTTTCAATCAATACAATAAGTGAAGTGTAGCATGCAGTTTCTGTCAAACCCCCTATGTCAATGCCGTGCTGCTTTTTTATTTCATTTGGAAGGACATCTGCAAGTCTTATGAATTTTGGCGTATCAACATATAAAATAAAATATTAAATAACTCATGCTCAGCCAGGATGAACGGAGAACATCGGTTAGCAAGACTTTTAAGGTCTTTTCAAAGCTTCTTGACTTTAAAATTCCCTTTAGACTTTGACTAGGCCACTCTAACTCATTATTAAGCCTCCATCTAATATATTCCAATGTAGAGTTTTGAATTTATTGCCAGCTTCAGTGTCGCTTTATTCAAATATTACTTACATACATACATCTAATGCACAAAACTCACAGTTTAGGCTATACGTCAAATTTTGGTCTCTTCTGTTCAGATCTTTTGCATGTTTTCTCTGTCTTCTACATGATGTAAGTTAAAAGCTGTTGATGTAGAATACTTACTTCTTTCACATAGGGCCTTCTTCCTGAAACTCTTCCATTTAGGTTATATTTGCAGAGTGCAAAGCTTAACCCTCTGAGCTGTGGATCTTTGCAGCAGTATTGCCATGAGCATCTTGGTTGCTTCTCCTTGACCAGCCTTGATCTTAGGTGTCTTATTAAGATTGCAGCTTTGCCTTACTCTTTCCATTTTCAGCCAATAGTCTGAATATAGCTCTGTGAGAGGAAAGCCTTGGATGATGGTTTACGACCTCATCATGATTTAAACTTCTCTCCAGCATTCTCATGACATTAATGTTCTTTAACAAACCTACTGAGCTGGATTTCTTAGACGGAATTACATAAATAGCTATTCTCTTTACTATTGAGGGTTTAACCTTAATAGCAAACGTTCCTTTTCCTTCTATATAACTGATATCTGTTGATCTAATATGCAAAATACATAGAAAATACATTCAGCTATGTGGCTGTAATGTGCGAGAAAGCTCAAATTCAGGAATACTTTTTAAAGAAACTGTGCAGAAAATCCAACCAGGACTCTTTGACCCTGTTCAGGTTGTGGTGAAGCAACAAAAGAGCCAGAGGCTGATGCCAGCTTGGCAGGTTATCCGTGGTTTCACGGTACTCTGTCCCGTGTGCGAGCGGCTCAGCTGGTGCTGGCGGGCGGGGCAAGGAGCCACGGACTCTTCGTGATTCGGCAGAGTGAGACGCGGCCGGGCGAGTACGTTCTGACCTTCAACTTCCAGGGCAAAGCCAAGGTAGGACCTGATGATGAGAGGAAGGCAGCTCTATGGTGTGGTGTGTAGGATTACATTGTCACTGCTTTAACAATCAAACACAAGGGATATTGGTGTTGATCATCTAGAATAGTAGATCTGGCCTGATTCTCTTAATACCTGATGCAGCAGCCTTTGCAGCTGACAGCCTAATTGTAGTTTTCCTAGAAAAGTCTCCGTAACGCCAAAGCTGTTTGCTCTATCATGTAACACGATCCCCGACCATCACATCCTGCCAGCCGGCTGTGTTTAGGAAGTGTCAGCTGCCATCGCTTCCTCCGGTGTCAGTCTCAGCATGCTGTCACTCTGCTCCAAGACAGGACGCTTCTTAGTTAACGCCCTGCCCTCTTGTCTCGGTTTCTTAATATTAGCATGGCCATTTTCTCTTTTATTGAACTTTCTTCCTCTACTGATTTAAAATCTTCTCTTTACAACATTGAGGTTAATTTTTTCCCTTCTTTCACTCTCTCCTCTCTGCAGCATTTACGCTTGTCTGTTAATGAGAACGGGCAGTGCCACGTCCACCACTTGTGGTTCCACACCGTAACAGATATGCTGAGACACTTCCACGCCCACCCGATTCCCCTGGAGTCCGGAGGTTCAGCTGACATCACATTACGCTCATATGTGCAGGTTCAGAGAAGCTCCACTGCAGGTATTTGAACACGCAGTATCAAACAGTCCATATATAACACATAGGGGGCCTTGCAGAGGTAATACTGTAAAGTTATAGCTACAAATTGGAGGAAATAATGCTTTGAACATATAACTACACCATAATTCAATGTGCCGATTTAATTTAAGTATAAAGCTATTCTGTGAAGGGCACAGAGGTTTGTTAGAGAACATAAATGAATAAAAGATGAGGGATTAAAGCTGACAGATTCAATTGGCTTATGGGCCAAGATGCATGCCATGGCTGCAACCACCAAAACAAGGTGGTAGACACCAGTAGTAATGGATGCTGTGAAGCTGAAGGAGGAGTCCTATTGAGTCCGGATTGTGGGTTATGAGGCAGCAAGCAGGTAATGTGAAGCTGAGCTTGCCGCTCCCAGGGAGAGGCAAAACCTTGGGCCTGGGAGGAGTTAGGAGATGCCATGGAGAAGGGCTGTGGCTGCAAATGTCTGCCCTAATCACTATATAGTGGTTGCGCCATTTTAAATGAGTGTCCAAACATCTATTGGATGAAAAAGTGGTGGACTCGAAATTTCTCACAATACACCTTGAAAAGTAATGATCATCCATGGTCACTAGTTTAAAAATATATCCCAGAATGCTTTGTGCAGAGAGCTCTCCTCGCAAAGCATTATGGGATTTGCTGTCACAGTGGCCAGCTGTCGCCATAGACTGTCGCTACCCGACAACAGCGACTAATAACAAGGATGGCGCATGCACCGCGTGGTGGAGGCGGAGTTATGTGACCTACGGGGAGCAAAAAAGTAGTGCAAACTGTCAGTTAACTGAGTTTACTATATAGTCCCCGCTCTATGTAGTGATTGAGGGATTTAGAGGTTAGAGCGGACGTACGGACACAGCCCATGAGACTGTTTCAAAGTGATTCTGGCTTTGAAACCTCCAGAGGAGGGGGAAGCAGTGCTTCACTAACTCTGTTTACACATGGTGTGGGGAGATGTTGACCTTGACTGAGGACATTGTCGTAAGATGGAAAGGAATAATTTGAGGATTTCCTCAATGTGGATGACCTGCCTTAACTGGTAGAAGCAGACTTGGGCCATTTCTCATTATGTGTACTTGTGTATTCTCATGCTCTCGTGAAACAGCAACAGCCTCAGCTCTAGTACTGTTTCAATTCATAAGAACACAAGACCGAGAACAGACAAAGTCCTCAGATGTTGTCCCCCCCCCCTTAACCGAGTATGCATCAGAGCAGAATTGTCCTCTCTTGAGATCGACAGCTGTCCCAGCATGCACCATGCAGCTGCACCTTCTTTAGAGTGAAGGTGTAAATTATGAGATGCAAAACAAAAAAAACCTGTACAACCCTGAAATAGAATAAAGAGTATTCATGCATTAGAAGGGCTTAGTCAAAGTCAAGTCCTGACTCCAATGAAAATCTTTGAAAATAATTGATAATTGATCCTTATGGACAAATGAATAAAAACGTCCAGCTCTGCATGTGAAAAGCAGGTAGAGACATATCCTGAAATACTTCCAGCTGTACCCAAAAATGGAAGGAGTTACAAGGCTCTTTTTGTGAAAGAAAGACCATGTACCTTTTACTTTTAGTTCAATGCACAGCCTTTTTATACCTTTTCTATATATGAAGTCCTAATAAAATACATTTAAGTTTGTTTTTCTGACCCTACCAAATACAATAAATCTAGCCTGGCTAGTCAGACTGACATAAACGAGGCGTAAGTCAGTCTGCTAAGGCTCATTGCACCAATCACAGCGCAACAGTGCTTTACTGTAGCCAGGATGATGCCCTTTATAATGTGCTGTTTACGAGCTGTTTATATTGTTAAAGGTTTTCTTTAAAAAAAAATTATCTGGTTAGTTCTAAACTGTTTCTGTTGACTCTGTTAGTCAAGCCTTTGAAATCGACTTCAACTGCTCCTTTCCAGGCAGTAAGTCAGTAAGCTGGCCAGGCTAAACTAAATCAGGTTGTGCACACTTTAATGACTGTATTTGTTTTCATTTACAGGAGCGGGCTAAACCTTAATATGAAAATCAAAATAAGAATTAGGTCGACTAAACCTTCCTTAGCAATTTAGAAGGAGTTTGCAGGTTGGTTTTGATGGAAAGCTGGCTTTTGGCCTCACTGAAATGAAAAACCTCCTCTCAGCCGACCACTGCTCCAGCCCTCCTTGGATAAATGGTCTCCTGTGCAGCAGAGTTGGGGAAGCGATTATGCAGCTGAAGGTTTGCATGCTGGCTGAGACTCTGACTCCACCCCGGTGGTCACAAAGGGTCCCTCTGTTTTTCTGAATGCAGGAGCTCCACACACTCAAACACCCACTCAGATGCAAATAAAACGGCTTTATTGATGTGCTGGTCAGGCGTGTCTTTGGCCTCAGTGTTGTTGGTGTTTTTGCCCACCAACAGAAAGGATAATACAGCAGGCCCACACTGCTTGTGTTTACATGCCGCTCCATGAAGGAGCCATTTACTCATAGCTTTTCAGCAAGAACAACAAACACTTATCATCAGCATAGATTTTTTTGTATTTGATGTATCTTTCCACTTTAAAAAATGTTTATTTTTTTTCCTTCTACTATAGATTCCACCATGCCTATGGTTTTGACTCCTCCTAGGGATGCATCCTGCAGGACGGATCCACCTCAGACGATTCTTCACCCTCCTGGAACTGCTGCTTCTGCAGGGCCGTCATCTGATGGCCCCATATCCTCGAGCACCTCCTCCTCACCCACTGCCATCCCGTCCCTCTCCAGAAGTGACCCTGGTACAGGACTTGGTGTGGGAGCGGGGCTGCAGAGCCGTAGTAATAGCTCAGAACGCCTTCTGGAGGCCTCGAGCGGAGCGTCCGAGGATTACCACGACGCTGACGGGACCCGCAGAGCCCGTGCTGTGGAGAACCAGTACTCTTTCTACTAAACAACCCAAAACATGGGGTCTGCTTGTTTATATTCTGAAAATATAAGGTGTCACGGACCGCTCTGCACATTTCCAAATGGTCCAAATCACTCCTCATTTCCTCTGTTTGTTTTTAACTCCGTATCTCGGAACTGGAAAGCAGATGAGGCCAAGCAGTGTGTCCATGCTTGATTCAAACCAGATATCAAGGGTATGGGCAGCAGGTATTAAACAACATGTTATGATGCACAAAAAAACTTAAAAGTGTGGATGATTGCAGCCAGAGACAGTAAGGGCAACTTACATAAATAGAGTCATATGACTTCGATTCACCTCCTTTGACCATTTCCTGCTGAGCCTTACCCACAGTTCTCCAGGAGCAGAGCCTGTCAGAGTCCTCTGCCAGAGGACTGAGAGTCTGAAATGACCTCGCAGAAACCCCACCCCCTCCGCTCCTTAGAGCATCCTGTTAATGTTTGTAAAGCTGCTTTGAATCTGTCCCGGATATCCTCGCTGTCCCTGAGGGTTTTCTGTTCAGAGTGCTGCCTCGGGTCGCTACGCTAACAGTGGTTCAGTTATCACATGTGTTCATGTTAGCTGAGAGGTATATATCCTAAACATGAACAGCCTGAGGGGGCTTGTTTTCTGACAGTTTGCTTAGACGTTAACGGACCAAAGCAGACAACAACGAGGAATTAACACCCCAAATTGTCCAAAACTAAACTGTAGGGAATAAATCTGCTCTCAGTTTCTGGTTAGAATCTAGAATGCCTTGGAGGAAGTGTTCATAACCCCTGAACCTTTCCACATTTTGTCACATATCAACCCCAAAATGCATTGCATACTATTGGATAATATGTGTTAAACCAGCACATAATTGTTTAATGGAAGGAAAATAACATATCTTGAAGGGGATCTGAAAACTGTTACTTTCATTTGTATTTTTCTCCATTGACCCAGAAAAACCTAAAACAGTCCAATCAGGGTACGCCTGTGTGTAATGTATTCGTAGTATAAATCCAGCTGTTCTGAGATGCCTCACATTTTTTTGGGAAGAAAATCTTGGATAAGCAGAATCATTTAGAAGAAATAATGCAGCAGACAGGTCAGACAAAAATTAGGAGACATTTAAAGCAGGATCTGGTTAGAAAGAAAGATTGAAAACTTGAAGATCTCAAAAAGCTCAAGTCTGTCCATCATCAGAAACATGGAAGAGCATCTTCCACCCCTCCTGAACTAAAATGAGATACAGGGAGAGGCTAGTGTGGACTATGGAAAATCACTATGGAAATCCAGAGTTTAAGTTGGAGAATCTGTTCTCAGGATGAGTGGTGTACTCCCCACAACCTTCCCTGAAGAGTGGAAAAAAATAAAATCTCTTTTGAAAGAAAGAAATTTTCAGTTTTCAACTAGTTAGTTGAAGAAAAAGTAAACACATGGAAGGAGGGTCCCTGGTTAGATGAGAACAAAATCAAACTTGTTGGCAAACATTTGAAACTTAAGACTGCACATCCAACCATCCCTGAGAGGAAACACAGTGGTAGCAGCATCATGCTGTTGGACTGTTTATCTTCAGTTAGGGCAGGGAGGGTATTCAAAGAGTATGGGAAGTACCGGGTAATAAGACACAGGTTACAAAAGACTTTAGACTGGGGCAGAGGTTCCCCTTTTGACTGAACAAAGACCATAAAAAATAAGCCAGAGTTACAGTTAAAGACAATCCTCTACTTCCAATCTGAGGGAACCTCAGAGTGATTTAGCAAAGAATGGGCAAAAAAATAATAAATAAATCACTTAATTTACATGATCAAAAGTGCAAAAGAACGAAACAACCCCAAAAAGATATGTTGGTTTAATTAAGGGAACTGAAAGATAGGCTTCAATTTACAGATTTCTATCTGTAAGGCGATTATACCCACATTTATTTCCAACTTTCTTTACGATTATCTGTAACTTCCTGTTGATTGATCACATAAAACCCCAGTTATTTACACTCCAGTTCATGTTGGTAGTGTAATAAAATGTGGAGAAGTTTGGTGAATATGACATATTCTGCAAGACACTGTACCGAGAATGCCATATGTGAAGGTTTTGGAAGTTTTAGCGAGGACACTACATACAGACACAAGGCCAGGTGTTGTTTTACTAATTAGTTTAACATATTTTAATGGACAGGAGCAGCTCCCATGTTAGTGGGTTGTTACTATGAATGTGTGGTGGTGTATTAGAGTCCAGATATTTTTAATGATACGTGTGGGTGTGTGTGTGTGTGCTGCAGTAGTGTTTCTAAAACATGCTTTTCAGGGTCCCTGCGTCTGAAGATGGTTCTGTATTAACACACATCACCATCATCAATGGTAACCTGTAGTTTAGAGGCTCCGAATATGAGATTACTTTGAAGCAATGCCTTGAGGATTTTATTAAACCAAACCCAGCATTGAGTGAAGGGACTTGCAACTTTCGTTTTTTTCTAGAAAAGCAGCATTCGGTACTGTTGTATGCGCTCCGCAAATAAGCTTGCCGGTTTTATAACAAAAACGACAAACTGAAACATAGTGTGCAAGATGGCCATGCTTGAATCGATAGATGGTGTTTTGATATTTTATTTCCAGCTGACCTTGAGCTGAATTTTTATACACCTTCTTTAAAATAGAGCCTCATTTACAATTAAAATGTTTAACATCTAATTTATATTTAAACGTTTTGGTTAAAAACAGTCTTCCTCTAGCCACATTTGGCTCTTTAGACCTTCTACAATGGCTCTTAATAGTGGCAAAAAATTATGTAAGGCAAAACTAAGAATAAATACCAGTCTGAGAACCCTTATTGGTTTTTATACAGAATTTCAAAAATGAATTTTCATATCAGAATGACTTTAAAACTACCAGAAATATGTTTTGTAGGGTTATTTTTCTTTTAATTAGATTGTAAACTATGTGTTCTATTATTATCACATCCTATAGAAGAAAATCCAAGCTTCATCTTAATGAATCGTTTTATGTTTTTCATTGTCTTAAACTACAAAAAGAAAATCAAATGTTTGTTATTTAAGATAGCAACAGATTTCCTATGGCAGATATTTAACAAAAATAATAGGTTATTTTATATTAAAAAGTTATATTTTAATGATTTTTGCATAGCCAGACTCGGGGCAAAATGGTTCTTTGGATATAAAAGGTTGCAGACCCCTGCTCTAGTTTATTCTCTAATCCAGCAAACTGGGTCATGATCATTGACCCAATGTCTGTTTTAAACTTTCTGACCTCTGCCTCAACAGCATGAATTTTGAATTTGGATTGAACACATAAATCAAATTTTTTTTTTTTTGCAGAATTGTATGAATATATAATTAACTTTTAAAAAAGAAAGAACTTCATAAAGGTTTGTGATAAACATAGCACCAAACCAATCAAAAAGGTGTTGATTTAACAGGATTTTCTCCTTGAATATATTCTTTCTGTACATTTTCTGTGTTCCCTATCTTATTCTTCCAAAAGACTTCAAATATTTCAGAATACAATATGATCCGTGTCATGGAGGGGTTGGAAGTTGAAAAATAACAAAATAAGGCAAATTCCTTTTGTTATTCAAATGTAGGTATGTTTTGTTAACCAAATTTGCAACATTTTTGGGGCTATGACCCTTGACCTTAAAGGTTAAATATGACCAAAAGTAATCATCTTTCGTTTGTTTCGTTTACCTAAAAGATTATAAATAGCAGTTTCATGTTATACTGGTATCGTGTTGCTCTTTTATTAGATATGTGTCTATTCTAACTACACAGTTAAATTCTAAGGTTTTACAATTCATAACCTTAAATAATCTCCTTCAACACTTCTTGGTCAGCTGGAATAAACATGTCGACAGCCAAACTTTTCCTTTTTAAGCATGGCCACCAAGCCTGAGAGGGGATTTCAGCGAACAGGTGGAGCAGCTCATGTGCCAATATGAATCCTATTTTATAAAAAATTATTAATTCCTTCACACATGTAAATGACATGTTTCCTATTGAGCCCTATTTATGTACTAGCAGTTCTTTAAGAAACTGTGGAAAAACACGACCCATTCCACATATCAACGATGGCTCACGTATTCTTTTTGTTCTGCGTAACCCTCCCACAACTGAACTTTCTGTTGTCTGACCGAGTTTTAAAGAGTCTGTGCAATTTTGTACAAAGTGATGTAATTGACATACTACTTTATATTTCTGTGAATAAAATGTGAATCTATCAGACGTGTCGTGCTGTTTTTCTGACACAGCATTTCCAAAACACTGCAGTCCAGTGATTGAATAATAAAAATTATACCCGAGTTTCTCATACTGTCCTGCATGGAGTTTTCATCGTTCAGTTTAAAGAATCAGGCTTGCTCTCACACTGAAAAACATGCATATTAAATTATTCAGCCTTTTTTAGTGTGAGCATGAATGGTTGATGGTCTTGTTTATCTTTTTGCTCCAGGGGGAAATACAGTGATTTTCTTTGCCCCAATGATCTATTTAGGGATGTTTCTGTTCGTATTCAAAGCCTCAGTTGTGCAGAAACATTTTGTCTGGAGCAGACATAGGTTTAAAGAAATGTTAACTTTTGTTAAATATTTTTAGAAAAGTGCTTCTTTTTCTCAGTTTTAGTGAGGATGCAGGTAGTAGCATTCTTGATCAGCTGCAGCTGTCTGATCAAACTTAACTTTGTTGAATTTAAATATCCAAATTAAGTTTTCCTCATTAAAATCATTTGTTCTCATATGAAAAAGGAACTGGACTTAGAATCCACAAGGGGAGTGGATTAGTTCATGTTAGAAACCGTTGACATGCTAATATCCTCCCACACACATAAAGTTAAATATTTTAACGATCAATCTATTCAGATGCCCCCTGGAGGGCAGATTTAAAAATAAAAACAGTAAATAAATAAGAAGGATAATTACAACTGGATATAAATATATGGCTAAATTTTCCCTTTTTACTTTGATATTAAGTTAAAAAAAACTAACAAATGAGATAAGGTGTATGACATTTAGTTTTTTTAAAGGAGCAAATAAAAATTCCACCGGTGTGTTTTTTTCTTTAACAAAATCACATATTTTTCTTGTAAAATGAGGCCAATCCATAAGCCCTTCATTTTCTTCCATGGCTCTTAGATACATAATAATTGTGACTTTTTCAGTCTATTTCTAATTTGTGGTTTATTTTTGTTGCTTTTCTTGATAGTTTTGTGTCTAAATTTTAAGCTTGAAGTCTACCACAGTATGTTATCTTTTTACAAACCAGATATCTAATTTAAACTTGAAATAGGCATCATAGAAAACACAAAGCTTCCGATTTGGGAATACGTCTCGGCTGGGTTTACCTATTTCAGGATTTATTTTGTGTGCATCTTTATTTTAATTTCTTTAAGGACTACAAGCTAAAAGTAGTTTTATCTGATGGAGTGCATCTCTGCTCTTGTGGGATGAATCTTTCTGCGCACGATTTGAAATAAACTAAAACATCGCTTGAAAATTTTAGAGGTTTTAATACCTTCTCAATCATATAGAGGCAATATCCATGTACAGTACATAGACTTATATACATGTTTACACCTGATGGCAAACAAACAGATGTTTACATTTGCTGTTAACCGATAATATTTACACTGCTCACTTCGTCTTACTGTTATAGATCCAGTATTAAGGAAAACAAGTGAAATGCTTGTGCATTGTTTGTTTTACAAAAAGAAAGCATCCTTTCTTCTTTAGGCCTTATCTGGAGAGTAATAAAAATCACTTTAAGGTGCCTAAAATCGAAAAATGAAAGAAATTTAAAGGAAACATACCATTGTTTACAAAGAGCATGACCATATTTGGCTGAATCAATGATGCAGATCTGAAGGTAATACTTTGATCTTATTCAGAAAGTAACTTCTATGAATTTTAATTATGGAAAGCTGTTCAACATGAGAAACAGAAAAGTATGATACTTAGGGATCATTAAATCAAACCATGTGAAATCTTAAACAGCTCATCTGCACAGATTTTGATTTAAGGAGAACAAGTATTTCTCACTCAGGAGTCATACTTTATAAAGTAGGCGTAAAAGCTCTGATTTGATTTCAGGTACACTGCAATTTAGCTTCAAAACATTGTGACAGTTTATCAATCACAGGCCGTGCTTCAGTCCAACCCAGAGAAACACAACCACCGGCTGGTACTGGTGCTGCTTGCTTAAGGCTTTGCTAGACTGACGAAGAGGATCCCTGACATGGCCAACATCATCACCAAAGTGAACTCTAGAGTCTTCTGCTGCCTGAACTGGTTAGCCTTCTCTTTCTGCATTTCCTCCATCTGCTTCTTCTTGGCTTTTAAGTCTCTCTCCCTCTGAAGCTGCTCTCCATAATGAGCCTGAAAAAATGCATCAAAATCAAACATGGGCTTTCCACCAGTTTGGGAGAACCGCCTGGCTCTGTGCTGATGATGATATTGCTGCTGCTGGGAGCCTGTGGATCTGCTGGATGTGTGTTTAGAAGATGGCTTCCCTGGGCTTTGAAGATCAGACTGGGTCAGGATCCCTCGATCATACTTCCTCCTTAGGCTGATGTTGCCCAGCACGGAGTATGCTTCGCTAATCTCAGAGAAGCGCTCTGTGGCTTCCTTGCTGCCCAGGTTCTTGTCAGGGTGGTAGATGAAGGACTGTTTGTAGTACGCCGTTTTGATCTGCGACTGCGTTGCACTGGGGGACACTTTAAGGATGTCGTAGTAGGCGGTTTTACTCCTGTGCAGCAGATGAGCCTCCTCTGACCTCCTGCTGTAACATCTAGCTTTAGAAGATGCTTTAAAAGGATCAGAGAGAGCTTTCAGATGTTTCAGTGAAGATCCACATCCTGATCTATCCTCTGTTAGGATGAAGAGGACAGTGCTGAGAGCTCTGACTTGCTGGGAGGACCTGAAGGCGTTAGGGTGGATTGAAGCAGCTCCTCTGGTCCAGGGTGACTTCATACATAAGAGCGTCCTCTCCTGAAAGCGCCCAGTTGAGATTAATACGCTTCTGTTTGTAGCTGTTTTGGTCATTTTAGTATCAGGAAACCAGAGTAAACAAGCTACAGATGTGTTAAAAGACGAGCAACCAAGAAAAGACACATCTTTCTGTTGTTTTTCAGCTTTTCTTACTCTGGAAAGTTTCTCAGAACTGCGTTGAGAGGCTCTTCTTATGAACAAATAGGTAGCTTCCTCCTTATAATGCCTCTGGGTACAGACGCTGTTTATCGGAAGGAGTCCGCTGGTTCCTTTGGGGCACAAGGTGCGAGCCAGGCCGGGACCGAGGGCTGTAAGCCGGTAGGCTCTGGTCCCGAGCCGCTGGCTGACCTCTGCCATTTCATCAACAACAAACCGGTAAACGACAACGGACTGCTTCCGGGTGTTCCCGAACAGAGAACCAATCAGATGTAAGGTTTACCGGAAGTACACAAGACTCTTCTTCTTCTTTGTTAGATAGGAGGATTGAAAACAACTTATAGGTGCATACCGCCACCTACTGTACATGAGTGTGTAGCGCTATAGTTCCACCTGCTATATTCTATTTTTTATTTTTGTGTTATGTATAAATAAAAACAATGCTTCATAAATAACTGGATTTTCCTCCCTATCTCCATCTGTCCCTAAAATGCCTTTAATACTCCAATCTCTCCATTTTGCCTTAATTACTTTCCTCATCATCTCTCTTTCAGTTGCATATTTAATGCAATCCATAAAAACATGATCCAAATTTTCTTTTCTTTCACAATCCTCACATATATCATTATTTTTCTTCCCTAGTACAAACAAAAACTCATTCAAGTAGGTATGTCCAGTTCTTAATCTAGTGTAACTGATCTCTTCCCTTCTGCTTCTTTCTCCATAATTTTTAACTATTACAGATTTTTTAACCCTTTATAATCTCCCTTTCTCATCTTCATCCCATATTTTTTTTTGCTATAATTCTGTAATTTTTATTTTTAATTATTGATTTACCTTCCCCTTTCCCAAGTGGAATATAGGTCTATATTCTGCTTTTCTAAAGCCTTTTTAGCTATCTTGTCTGCTATTTCATTTCCTCTCACCCCTTCGAAGTACTCAAGATGATCTACCAATAATGTTTTACAAGGAAGACGTTCCAGAATGTTTTTTTTTTTTTTTTTACTAAACTTTATTTATATCTTTGCAAATAGTACAAATTATACATATTATACACTTTAAAGTAGAAAACAGCACAAGACAAAAAAAATAAAAAGTAAATAAATAATAAAAAAGGAACAATGCAAGGAACATAAAAGACAAGGAAAAAATATACCTCTAAAAATGAAATGAAAATAAGTAAAAAATTATGAAAATTAGAAAAATAGATTGTATTCATTATAGATATTCTTTGTTTTCTGGGCCTTTTTGTTACGTGAGTAAATATACAGTTTAACATCCATTAAAAAGAGGTCAAAAATGACTTTACTCTTGTAGATATGAGACTTGGCAAGAAACAAGATCAGGCTAATAAGGAATGCAGCAGAGGAGTCTTTTGTCTTGGAATCTTTGATACCAAACAAAACATTTTCAAAATAAAGTAGAAACCCTGGGTGAAAATTATTAGATATTAGAGAAGCGATGTCCTTCCAAAAGTTCTGGGAGCACGCATATTTCCCAAAAAATATGAAAGGAAGTTTCTGGACAGAACTTACAGAAGGAACAGGAAATATCAATTTCCACTTTGTATTTCTGAAGAAAGTGTTTGGTTGAATAAAATGTAGAATTTGAAAGACCCTTCTTTAAAAAGGGAAATATTTATTATTAAGAAACAATGTTTGTGGAAGAGATCAATTTTTTTTTTCCAATTAAGATTCTGTACATATATGTTCCAAAAAGAAACACAGGATGGGGAATTGAATTAACTTAAATATTTTTATAGATTAAGAATGTGTGTTTTTCTTTTTTATTGTTTTAACTAATATAATGTTGATTGTGGATATTGCATATTTATTCCTATTCCCTTTTCACTTTTAGATGAGCTATATTTTGAAAGCATAAAAAAATGAAATAGAATTTAAAATGTTGTTGATATGTTACACATATTGTGATATTTTAAAGTCAACATTTAAAAATATATTAAATCTAAGACATTTGTCTTAGATTTTTTGGACGACAACAACATTCAAATTATTTGAATAATCTTATAAATAATGAAGGGACGTCTTATAAAAAGAATAGTAGAACAACTCAGTGATAAAAGTGTGAAGAATATATATTTTTTTTCCTCGACCCCAGTACGAATGTCTGAACAGCAGGTGGCGGTGTAGCACCGCTCAAAAAAGTACCGGTATTTAAAAGCAACGAAAAAGAAGAGTGTGTTTCACCAGTAACGAAGAACAAAAAACTATTATTAAACAAAAGCTTTAGGAAAGATGGCGTTACAGTATTCAAACAAAAATTGGAGTAATGAGGAGAACATGAAGAAATAGAAAAGAGGAAATCATTGCATCCAGATTACGTTTTGGGCATACAGGGAAAACATCCAACAGGAAATTGTGATTTAAAGCATGTTTTGTGGTTCTGTTCTAAATATTCTGTTGAGAGAAGGGAATAGTTTGGTCGATTACGAGAAAATAAATTACAGTTAAAAATACAAGATATTTTAGACAAAATTCCTATTTACAAGTGTATTTGTTATTTAATGAAATGCACTAAGGAAACAAAATTTGATAGAAGAGATTTGTGTGATTAATGTTACTGTTATTATTATTTAATTTATTTTTTTTATGTGGAAGAATATATGTAGCATCCCGATCCACACTCCGTTCCAGCAGGTGGCGCTAATGCGCTTCGATAAGTTGCTTGTCAACCGCCATAAAAATAAAAAAGAAGTGTGTTTCACATGTGTACAGCCTGCTTCGAACACACGTTCAATTGTTTTTTAAAAAATTGATCGAAAAATTAACCAAGTATGGCTTCCAGCTGCCGGAGACCAGAGCACACAGCTCCGCCAGATGTGGTTAGTTTGATAGCCTTATTTTCTGTTGATCTGCATGAGCTGTTTGCATCTAAAGCGGTTGTTTACCTCCTATATTCATAAGTTGTTCTTTGGCCTTTTTCCTTTTTGGTGAAATCTGCCACCGAATGTAACACCCTTATTCTGATTTCAGTTCTACAATGAAGCGGAAGCAAAGAAATACTCACAGAAGTAAGTTTGAATATTTTGGCCATATATATATATGTGTGTGTGTGTACAGTTGGAGAACTGTAATGTAATATCTTCACTTAGATTCAGTGGGTTTCAGTTGTTCTGTTTTTCTTCAACTAACTTATTTTCTGGTTGTATTTGTTTTTGGGTTTTTTTGGTTCGCTTTTAGTGCCAGCTCTGATTGATTAAAACTCATTTTTTATACGTTTTTAGTTGATTTTTGTGAAAAAACAAAATCATTTAGTATATTTTATTTGTTTTCATGAAAGCATTTGTAAGATAATATTATACATTCTATTTGTGTTAATGTTACCATGTCGTTTTCACTTTTAATTATGGTATTTCTTTTTTATTGTCATCCTCTGCCCAGATTGATTGATTTTATTTGCCTGCTTAAATGTAATGATGTTGTGATCATATGTTGTCACACTTGCAAACCTTTGCTTTGTTGTTTATTTATTGTCTTGATGTCTTTCATTTTTTTATGATTTTGCACAAATCATAGATGCCCTGTCTTATCTGTAAATATCAGTCTTTGTCTTGACTGTGTTTTTGCTGGTGCTGAACCTATTTTATGCACGTTGTGAGGACCGACTGCTCCTTGTGGCGACTGATTGCTTGACCCCACAAGGGGTAAAGTGGGTTTAGGTTGGGTTAGGGTTAAGTATGAACCTGTAATGGTTGGGTTTAGAGTGAGGTACACAGTTAGGCTTTGGAAATTAATGTTCATGTGTGAGAAAACCTTTAGTGCTAACTAGGTCTGTCTGCCTCCTTCCCCACAGCTCCCGGATGATTGAAATCCAGACTCAGATGTCAGAGAGAGCTGTGGAGCTTTTAAACCTGCCAGAGGACCAGGCCTGCTTCCTCCTAGATGTTGGGTAAGTATGTGGGTTAGGCTGTTTACTTAAAGTAAAACCTTTATTAGAAAGCTGTTTATTCTACATGAAGACTGTAATTATTTAGCCATAGTGCTTTATTGTTGAAAGGACTTTCAATGTTCTCCTAAATCATCATAGTTAAGCCAAAAACCTGCAAAGCATTTACATCATTGGTATATGAGTTTTGTATTAAACATTGATTTAATAAGAGATGAGGGCCAGAGGAGGAAATCTGAGGCACTAAGTTCTGTTCTGCCTCCAAGGTGTGGATCCGGTCTCAGTGGAGATTACCTCACAGAGGAGGGACATCACTGGGTCGGAGTCGACATCAGCACCGCCATGCTTGGTTTGTTTTACACACTTTTACTTAATTATTATCTAAAGTGAAATATATAGAATGGGGAAAATCTGGATTACCAATTCGTGTGTTGAGAGGAATTAATCTGCTCAATATGTTGTGCTAACTGTTGTCAGATTCTTTTATGCTTATGAAATGGTCGTGTCATGATGTTTGTGTCCCATCCTTTAGCCAACATGATCAGCTGTTTATCTTTTCGTGCATCTTTCTGTACATCTTTCCCACCATCAGCACCTCCTGTCCGGGTCAGCAGAGGATCAAGGCTCTGCCTGTTTGTCACTCATCATGTCCATCCATTCATGCATTAGTCTCACCTATAGATCTTTATGTCTATCCATCTGTACATGGGGGCTTATCTTTTGTTTATTCCAGGTTTTTCATCTAAAATGTGAAAAAAAAAAATTTGAATCTTTTGCTACTTTTGTACAGTACAGGGGCAACAATTATTATTTCAGATAAGATATTTTGAATCATGCTCTATGGTCAATAAGAAAAAAGCAAACCTGCTTTATGATGAAAACAGGAATAATTTTAGCACAATCTGATTGTATTTTAGTTTGATTTTTGACTTAATTAAAACGGTTCAGTTCTGAGTTCACAGCTATTAAACAGCAAACCCCAATGTTAGCTATTTTTACTGTAGTTTTCTTTGGTCAAGGTGATGGCTTCAGGTATCTAAAGAAACATAACAAAGAGAGGAAGCCATTTCTCACAGCTGCCAGGGAGCTACTGGGATCTGGTTACATTGTCATCGTAACCAGAAGTAAATATTTATATATAATGGATCCACCAAAATTTACTAAATAACTATTTATGCACAATTTAATTAAATTAATACTTTAATCTGCATTATTCTAAATGCTCTGTGGATTTCAGAGAACTTAATTGACCTTAAACAGCTGGGAGATGTTATGGATTTTATTTATCATCTTGTGGTAATATGGATTTATTTGTCGCACCT